TTAGGAATTAGATCTCCAACATAAGAGAAATCTAAGTTTAAATCCTAAACCCAGGTTTAGGAATTAGATCTCTAATATAAGAGAAATCTAAGTTCAAATTAAACCTAAGTTTAGGAATAAGATCTCTAAGATGAGGAGAATCTAAGTGTTTAAATCCTAAACCCAGGTTTAGGATTAAGATCTCCTAAGATAAGAGGAATCCAAGTTCAAATCCTAAACCTAGGTTTAGGAATTAGATCTCCTAAGATGAGAGGAATCCAAGTTCAAATCCTAAACCCAGGTTTAAGAATTAGATCTCCAACATAAGAGGAATCCAAGTTCAAATCCTAAACCTAGGTTTAGGAATTAGATCTCCAACATAAGAGGAATCCAAGTTCAAATCCTAAACCCAGGTTTAGGATTAAAATCTCTAACATAAGAGAAATCTAAGTTCAAATCCTAAACCTAGGTTTAGGAATTAGATCTCTAATATAAGAGGAATCTAAGTTCAAATTAAATAACTTAGCTAATTAGCATTTCGCAAACTATATAATAACCATAAATACGCTCCAGATATAGTACCTAATATATAGTCTGCCCTAAATAAGTAGGACAGTAAAGCTGCAGTATACCAGTATTTCTATTCAACGCATATACTACTAAAAGGGAGATAGACCGCCTGCTTAGTTCTATATACTACCCTAACCTAATATATCACCCTCAATATCTTAAACGCTACTATAGCAGAGGATAATATAGCTGAAGTAGGCTTAGCTATCCTCCCCAGAAGCCTCTACCACTAGCTAGCTTATCGTATAGCTTACGAAGGTAACAATATAATCCTCAAGAGCCTTCTCAGCACTATTACTAAAGTTAATAGCTCTATATAGGACAAAAGCAAAGCCTTTATCCACATCAAGCATAAGGTAGTGATCTAGATCAAGCGCCATCATAGGTTACATGAAACCTTCTATAACCTTACCCTTAGGGAACTAGAAGTTCGTAGCCTTAAGTGTGCAGATAACCTACATAATATTCTTATAGTGAACAAGACCACTCTCCCTACTAATACCAAAGGTAGTAATACGCTAGATAATAATACTTAACATGAGGGGGGGCTCAGCAGGCATATAAGCAACTAAAAGCTTAATAGAGGTATAGTTAAAACCCTTAGTAGTAATGCTATTATAGAAGCTAATAATAGCTATAATAGTAGCACTTTATCCTATAGGGATCCCAGACCAACTCAGAGCCTCTGCCTATAGGTATACTGCAGCTAACAGTCCCTCCGCTAAGTACTTATATAACGTACTGAAGAGGATTAAGGTATCTTAGCTAATAGGCACCCTCAGCTTGCTAATAGTATTAATACATATAGTACCTTTTAGCATCAGCAGACCATCCTTAGGGTTACTAGCTGTCGTAATATAGGTTGTATAGTTATCAGCAATTTCTAAACGATATGCAATACGTATTAGTAACTGCTAATTATTAGCAACCCTAGCGCTAGCATTAGAGCTAGGAGTAAGCATAATGTAAAGCTCTATTATCATACCTATACTAACTAGCTTCTCTACATACTATTTCTATATAGTCTGATTAAGAATAATCACTTTAAGTTTAAGATTAAGTTGAAGATTAAGTTAAAGATTAAGTTGAAGATCAGGTTGAGGATCAGGTTGAGGATTAAGTTAAAGATTAGGTTAAGGAGTAGGTTAAGAGCTTATTACTAAAACCTAAAAGAAAATAAAGGTTAATATTCCTAAGAGTAGAACAGAAGTAAGTAACTATATAGGGGCAGTAGATATAAATATACCTTCTAATATGTAATATTAGACATAAGTAAGCTATAAAGTATAGCTAAGCAAGAGAATAGTATATAGTTAATAGTAGAAGAAGAGGTTAAGAAACAGGAGGAAAGCGCTAAGTAAACACTACTACTCTTATATATTAAACTTATTTCTAGATAGTTTTTAATAGTAAGCATATAGGCCACTACACCTACCTAAGGTTGCAGCTCACATTCAATAAAGGTCTGAAAAAGGGGATCCCAACACTATAGCAGGCAGTAGAGGCTATAATAGGTAGGTGCAATATAGCAGTGTAGGTAAGCTAGCAAAGCAGGAAGAGCTCTTAACTTAGTAGGAAGCAGCAAAGTAGGGGCGGGTAGTTACATAAAGGATGGGGGGGAAGAGAAGAGAAGGTAACAGAAAGCAAATAAGTGATTAGGTACAGGGAGGGTTAATAGATACCTAAGAAGAACGAAGGAGCAGAAAGTAGCACTGCAGAGAGCTAAGAAGAGGCGTAGCATACTAAGGCTATAGATATTAGGAAGTAGAAAGGAATAAACCCACTCTCTCTAGAAAACATAGTAACACTAGCAGTAATAAACATTATGTTATATAATTCAATAGAATCTTAAGTATAAAAGATACCATATAGTACTAAACGATATAAGCCCAAAAGCTCTACTAAGCTAAGCTATCCAACTTAAATACTATCTTCGCTATAGTTATCTTCAGTATATATAGGCTAGTCACAAAACCGCTCGCCAGAAGAGGATAAGTCCTATTATGAGATAGGAGCTAGCTTAAGCTCTTACGCTCTAATTTAGTCACTAATAGTTAAACTATATAGTGACCACTTAGAGAGGTCCTACATCTAATCCTTCGTAGTGAGCATGAGGATATTATCCTAAAGATAAAATATAGGTTAGTACTATAGAGATATATATACAGATAAGACATATACCTAAGGCTTAGACTTATTAAACTAGTGTAGCTAAAAGCTAACCTCTATAATAACCTTCAGATTTAGCACTAGCTTATTATTAATATCTAGGTCCAACCTATCTATAGCATAAAGATAGAGGTTGCCACAGAACTCGTTAAAGGATTTATACGCCTTTATTCTAGAGAGGAGCTTAGAAAAGTTGTCGTTATCCTCTGCAGCCTAGATAATAAGGCTATTAGACTTATTACACCCTATCTAAAGCTGGACGATATACCTATTTATGTTCTCTTGGATCTTTAGATCTAGTAGTAGGCTGTTAATAAAGGTAACAGCAGGTATAGTTACTATTAGTATAAATGGTTTACTTAGCTAAACTTTAGTGAGTATTAGTAACCCTAAGCAGGAGGAGAATAGATATATAGACTAAGTAAAAGAGCAGGTAAGTAAGAGGAGGTAAGAGAAGAAGGTTATCTTCTAGCCTCTAATTATCAGTTGAGGGAGGAAGAGTAAGTATAGGGAGCTGAGCAGAATACAAACCAGAATATCCAGGGAAGGTATAAATAGAAAAGAGAGCAAGTACTAGTATAAAAAGGCAGGTCTATAGAGATAGTGTAAGTAGGATGTATTAAAACCCTATAGCAAATACTTTATCTAATACTATTTAGAAGAAAGGTTATGCCTTTTAGAAGAAAGCTTATATTTAACTACCTGCATAACCTTCAATCTGCTACCCTTAAACCTTATCCTAATTAGGCGAAAATAATTAGCTATAAAAAAACCTCTAAATATATTAGCTAGAACCTCTATAGAGTGGGGCGCAACCTTTAAATCTATTAGTCCCCTTAGCTCTAGGTGACCTATATGCATAGTGGGTCTTTAGTATAGTGTAAGCCCACTAATTAGTATACACTATATATACTACTACTGCTACTAGTAGGAGGTGTAAGATAGAAGTTAGCTAGGGGCCTAAGCCTAACCCTAAGCCTAAGCTAGGGCTTAAAAAGAAAACTGCCCCCCTACATAAGTGATCAAGCCACTTCACGTAAGAAGCTAACCTTTCTATCTAGAGATTATTAATAATATAGAAGGATTAGCAGAGGGTTCAGACTAAAGCAGAGTCCTTTCCTTTTCCTTCTTTTCCCTATACCTCAGGGGTTTCTTATATAATATTGCAAGGAGAGGAAAGCTTAGTGAAGGTTATTATTATATCTCTATCTCTCACCTCTATCTTAAGGTTATAGCACCCTGCTTATAAATACACTATCCTAATATAGTAGGCAGCTTAGTGCTTATTGCCTGCTAGCTAGGGTATAAATAGGAAAGAAATAAAAAGAAATCGCATGAAAACTGCTATAAACTAGTATGCTAAGACTGCTAAAACTGCCTATAAGAAATCATAAAACCCTCCCCCCCCCCCCCTTNAAACCCCCCCCCCCCCCCCTTTTATTATAGCCTTCCCTAGCCCTAAAGAAAAGCAGTAAAATAGTTAATCCCTATATCTAGTGAAACTATATCTACCTCCCTACCCCTCTAGCCCTTACAGCCCTAATACTATGCTTACGCTATAATCTTATCCTCTAGCTTTATAAAGTTATTAATAGCTTATAGCAGCAGCTTTATAGAGAAGAAGAGCAACTTCTCTATGTCTGTATCCTTATTAGTAACCTCTGCCTACTAGTTGCCTGCTAGAACACCATCCCATATGATCTTCATAGCAGTAATCCTTAGATCGTTAGAAACTTTAACTCTAGCTATACAGAGGGCTAGGAGGTGTATCATAGCTATACTGATGCTGTTTATGCAGCTCCTACCTATATCCTAGGTAGTGATGTAGTTGATAGGCAGGATATCCCTAAAGTACTTAGCTATAGGCTTGCTAAGCACCTTATTAGCCTCTTCTAGGGCCCTGTTGAGACAGTCAGTATAGTGATAACCTAGGTAGGCCTCATACCTATAACTGTATCTGTAAGTCTTATAGGGGACCTAGCTGTAGGTGGTGCTGTGCTTGAGCTCCTTATAGTAGCCGCTAGAGCTATCAGGGACTATAGTAATACTAATATCCTATAGGAGGGTTCCAGGGGCCTCCTTGTATCTATTCTTGAAGAATCTATCATAACCTTAATCCTAGAACGCATCCCTCTAGAACTTCCTGCTAATCTCTATACCTTTAGCTATAATGATAGATAGTTTTATGGTGTGGCTACTATTATGGATTTTCTTGAATGCTAAGGTGAGGGCCCGCTTAGCATCTCAGATTGTATAGAAGACTACCTAATAGCCTAATATGAAAGGCTTTATTAAGAGTATCTTATCTATAATAATATAGCAGATATTATTATTACTAGGCCTGTTCTTAAGGACGTCTAAGGTCATTAACTTAGTATTATAGCAGGAGGTGAGGTTAGCATGTATGAACTTAATAGAATCATTAAGCTTCTATTAAGTAGCTAGAATAGTAAGCTAGAGGTTATTATTAAGCTTAAAACGGGAAGCTATTGCAGCAGTTATCTTCTGAGGGGCCTTAACTACTTATTAGTATCATTTAAATAGGAAAGAGTACTAGGGATCTATGGGGGGTAGTACTTACTGTTGAGGATTTAGGGGAAGGGATACTAATACTAGCTTAGGAGGGCTATTAGTAATAGCTGAAGATATAAGATTATTATTACTAGTAGTATAGGAAGGAGCTTTAATTAACTAGGTTAGAGGGTGATAAGTGTTACTAATGCTAGCTTAGGAGGATTATTTATAACTAGTGAAGATATGAAGATATAAAGATATAAAGATGTGAAGATATAAAGAAGTGAAGATATAAAGATGTGAAGCTGTGAAGCTGTCGATTATAGTGGTGTAGGAAGGAAGTTTTATGAGCTGGGTTAGAAGGTGAGGAGGGTGTCCTTTTATACCTTAGATCTTAGAAGCTATAGTGTAAAAGGTGCTACTGTTAACTATTATAATACTTTTAATACTATGATATTACTATTATAAGAGGGGTAGTAGTGTCTATAGTAGCGTTTTAACTGTGGGTTTAGGAAGAAATAGGCGCTTTTTATAGTAGAGGTCTTAAACTAATATAGCAGGGGAAGGTATATATGAGGAGGTAGGAGTAATAAGATATAGTGGATATTACTATGCTAGTGAATAGCTCATCATGATATATAGATAGTATAAGCAGTCTTTAGCAGCAGTAGCATTAATACGTAAGGTAAGTCTCTAGCTTAGTCTAAGTTTAAAGTGAGGCTAGGTGAAGTAGAGATGCTAAAGCTAACCTAATAGGGAAGGCATGCTCTAGCAGCTAGGATTAATAGCATATAGTTAATATAGCAGTACTATTAAACAGCTTATAATAATATCTATTAGGGGCTGAGGGTGAGGCTGAGAGTGAGATATAGATAACACTTATACTTCTTCTGCTAAGCTTCCCTGCCAGCCTGTATCTAACGCCTTTCCAGCCTAGGCTAGGTGCCTAGGTGCTTATGCTAACTTATAACTTCCTATCTTAGGTCTAGTTTATAAAAGCATCCCCTATAAAAGGTTGCTCAGTATCCTAGGCAGATAATTAATATTAAAAGATCAGAGGGGTTATAAAGAAAGAATAATTACGTTTAGAGCTTACTTTAGATTTAACTTGCTATTACTCAGTATAAGTAATTAACTAAAATTCTAAATACCTATTTACTAGGTCTAACTATTAATAGCTTTAGCTGTAGCCTGATCCTATTTTATATGTAATACTATTAATTCCCTCTAGTAGCAGCCTAATAGTTAACTCCTATATCTTGCAAAACCACACATCCCTCGTTATCCTTCTAGCTAGATACCTTAGTATCCCACCTATCTTATAATCTTATTCTCTAGCTCTATGCAGTTGCTAATAGCTTAGATAAGCAGCCCTATTAAGAAGAAGGTAGGCTTATAGCCTAAGCTATCCCTAGCCCTACGCTCTATAAACTAGTAGCCTACTAGAACCTTATCCTATACTATCTTATAGATCTTTATCTCATTATTATTAGATAGGTTAACCTTACTAATGTAGACTACTAGGAGATATATCATCACTATAGCGATACTATTAACATAGCTCCTAGCTATATCTTAGATAGTTAGCTCCATAGCAGCTCAGGTAGGCTTAAAGTACCTAGCTGAGGGTAGGCTAGTGTTCTTATTAGTGACGCCTAGGTGGTCCTCTAAGAACGTAGTATAGAAGTTGCTTAGGTAAGCCCCCTCCTTACTATACCTAGTCTTAAAGGGGACCTAGATATTAGTTTTATTATGCTTTAGCTCCTTATAGGAGCTGCTGCTACTATTAAGGACAGTAGTAACCTCAACTTACTATAGGAGGGTTCTAAAGACCTCCTCATATCTATTCTTAAAGAATTATATCTAGCTATTATAGTAGAATACCTCCTATATCTAATCCTAGCTGATCTTAATCCCCCTAGCTATAATAACAGACTACTTTGTTATATTATTACTTTAGTGAAGCTTCTTAAGGGCTAAAGTGAAAGCTAGTTAAGCGTTTATAATAGTGTAGAAGGTAACTTAGTAGCTTAATATAAACGCCTTTATCTTTAGGATTGTTTCCTAGTAGAGGATATAGATCTTATTATCTGTTAGCTTATTCTTAAGGGTATCCTTAGATATAAACTTAGTAGCATAGTAGGAGGCGAGGTTCTTAGAGATAAACGCTAAGGTTTCGTTAACTATGCGCTAGGGGGGAGCTATTATAGCAGTTATCTTCTAAGGGGTCTTAGCTACTTATTAGCATTATTTGAATAGGAAAGAGCGCTAGGGATCTATAGGGGGCTGCACTTACTGTTGAGGTTTTAGGGGAAGGGATGTTGCTGCTAGCTTAAGAGGGCTGTTAGTAATAGCTAAAAGTGTGAGATTATTATTATTAGTAGTGTAGGAAGGAGCTTTAATTAGCTGGGTTAGAGGGTGATAAGTGTTGCTGATACTAGCTTAGGAGGATTATTTATAACTAGTGAAGATGTGAAGAAGTGAAGATATGAAGAAGTGAAGATATAAAGATGTGAAGCTATTAATAGTAGTAGTATGGGAAGGAAGGTTTATCAGCTAGGTTAGAGGGTGAAGATAGTTTCTTTATTATGCTGTCCTAACTTAGGGAGAGAGGAATAGTAGTAGGCAGAAGGAAGGTGCTAGCTAAGCTTACTATGAAGGCTTTAATAGCTTATAGTTGTAAATAAAGATATAAGTGTGGTTATTATTATGGCAGCAGTAGTAGTAGTGTTTTAGGTAGGTTTCTAGCCTAGGTGTAGATAGTAAGTGAGGCGTTTAATAGCAGAGATCTTAGTAGAAGCTAGCAGGGTAGTCTAAAAGCATAAAAAGCACGCGCTAGCAGGTAAGAGCACTAAGCTAGGCTGAATATAGCGTTATTAGTAAATAGCTTATAGCAAAAGAGATAATTATGTAGTATAGCTAGTTAAAAATATTAATAATTCACTACACTTGCCTCCTCACGTGGGGATATATAATGCTATAAGGCTATACCTGTTAAAAGAAATAAACACTATTAAAGGAAATAATCACTGTTCAGGGAAATAACTACTGTTCAGGGAAATAATCACTATTCCTGCTATTCAGAGTTAGGACTAATTCACTAAGTGTCTTTAAGTAGATCTCTCACGTTTATGAATAATAACCTTTTCTCTATCTAACATCTACTTATTTCCCCCTACCTTACTGGTCTACACTAGATCTAAAGCTCCTTCGCTATAAAAACAGCCTCTATCGCAACTTCCTAAAGTACCTTATCTTCTACACTATCCAGAAACATCTATAGAGTCACAAATAACTATTACCCAGCCCTCCCTATCGCCTTAATAGATCTATTTACATACAATCTACTAAAGTTTAAGATGGATCTCTATGCTTAGGTAGCTTGGCTAGGGCCGAAGCCCACTAACTGCTAGTATAACAGAGTAGAGGCTTATAAGAACTGAAGAAATTAACTACATAAAAGGAAAAGTAATGCAGCCCACTATTATCTTCTAATATCTATTCTATATAGTATAGCTAGCTGAACTAACGCTATCCCTCCCCTATCATTCTTATGATACTTTGCTAGTATGAGTTAATATTACTATGCTAGTCTGCAAAGTTAGGCTATACTAGCAAAAATATCTCTTGAGATATTCACGCCTGCCTGCTTAATTAGCGATGAGGAAAGATAATCTATTCTATGTGATATAGCTAGCTAAACTAATACCTTTACCTATAAGGAGTATAGCCCCTACTCTAATATATCCTCACACCTCAGAAAAAGATATTATTAAGGTGGGTATAAAAGTCCGTAAGGTCAAGATTATCTAGTATTCGCTCAGTTTTAGGATAGCTATCTCAGCCTATATCTTCCTTAGCGATAATAAAGATCTGCTTTACTTTCTGTAATCTATATTAAGGTAATAAATCTTTTAACTAAGGGTTCTTAGTTTCTTAGACTTACTAGTTTATTATAGTAGCTAGAAAACCAAATCTACTAGTCTAATCCCTTATGCTTCACACCTATATAATCCACCACCTCAAAACACTTAGACTCCTAGATAATATACAGATTATCGCTACCCCCTTCTGGACTATCTAGTATGTCGGCAGGCTTAAGGAGCTCGCGACAAGTAGCTATAAAGTTATTAGTGATAAAGAATGCAAAGTGGACGCCTTCAGCCCACTCTACTAGGATAGAGGCTTTACCCTATTAGAAGCATACTCCTAAGCTGATTGCTACCTATCTACTAACAACAAAGATAGTAAGATACTATACATCCTTAACATTAGAAACAGCAGGGTTAGCTTTAAAGTTAGCTTTATAGTAGTCTTTACAGGCCTCAATCAAAGAGACGCATTTATAAACCAATCTAGACATAACTCAGGTCATTAGCTCTAGATCATAGAGCTTAATATTAAACTAGTTTCACCTCTTGAAGTTAATATTATAGAAACCTTTAATAGTCTCCTATATTATAGATCCAGTAGTTTCCCTATACGCAAGGAAGGTTTTGATTATCTACTAATCCTAATACTTATTCTCAGTAAGGAGCTCTAGATCTAGCTCCCTTTAGGGCCTATTAGTAATAGCCTCTATAATATTACTACTAATAGATTAGTTAGACTCTGC